GCACAGAGTGGGAACTCCAGAGAGAGGTTCCAGGTTGTTGCATTGAACATATTCAGGAGAATATTTGTCATTGTTCCAATGATAATAAACAAACATTTGCATAAAGCGTATTTGTCCACTCATATGTCAAATCAAATCAGGTTTTATTTATATAGCACATTTATAAACGATTGTTGGTAGAGCCAAAGTGCTGTACATATAATAAAAATAGCCTACAGTAGAGACACTTTACAGCAAATACAACAGCACAGACCCTCTGTCCTTAGACCCTCTGTCCTTAGACCCTCTGTCCTCAGACCCTCTGTCCTTAGACCCTCTGTCCTCAGACCCTCTGTCCTTAGACCCTCTGTCCTCAGACCCTTTGTCCTCAGACCCTCTGTCCTCAGACCCTCTGTCCTCAGACCCTCTGTCCTCAGACCCTCTGTCCTCAGACCCTCTGTCCTCAGACCCTCTGTCCTCAGACCATCTGTCCTCAGACCCTCTGTCCTCAGACCCTCTGTCCTCAGACCCTCTGTCCTCAGACCCTCTGTCCGTAGACCCTCTGTCCTCAGACCCTCTGTCCTCAGACCCTCTGTCCTCAGACCCTCTGTCCTCAGACCCTCTGTCCGTAGACCCTCTGTCCTCAGACCCTCTGTCCTCAGACCCTCTGTCCTCAGACCCTCTGTCCTCAGACCCTCTGTCCTCAGACCCTCTGTCCGTAGACCCTCCTAGACCCTCTCCGTAGACCCCTCTGTCCTTAGACCCTCCATCGTACAAGGAAACACTTCCAGAGAAAACCCACAGTTTAAAGGGAACATGGGAGAAACCTCAGGGAGAGCAACAGAGGAGGGATCCCTCTCCCAGGACGGACAGACGTGCAATAGATGCCGTGTGGAAATTGAAGAGATAATACATTTGACAGCATATAGACTGAATGTTAGGAAATGCATGTGTCTGTAATAAGAAGATGAATCCACGAGGATGTGAGCTACAATCCTGTGGAAGCCATCAGGGAAGCAGCATGACGAGACCCAAGGCAGGACCGCAGATACAGGTTCAGCCACGACCCGAAGTCCACGACTTAATCCAGAACTCAGGATAGAGGATCCAAGACACAGGACTACAGCAAGAGGATCAGCCTCGACTCCGGATCCCGGCGTAGATATAGATACAAAACAAGAACAAAGATTTGGCTGGGTTAATCGGAACAAGAGAATACACAGACACAGACAGAGAGGGGAAAGGTCATTGGATAAAAGTTATTCTTGATAACCATCTAGAAAGATCTCATGAACTTCCCCACTCAATCTATCAAGACCCGAGCAGTTCTATAGATATAGATAAGAACCAGAGAGAGGGAGCACAACAACCTATCTCTTCGTCAGATGCACTCCCCCGCTTATCTAAGCGACTCTGTACCCCGTTACCCTCTACAAGGCCATAGACCAGCAGAGGGACCGTTACCCTCTACAAGGCCAGTAGACCAGCAGAGGACCGTTACCCTCTACAAGGCCATAGACCAGCAGAGGGGACCGTTACCCTCTACAAGGCCATAGACCAGCAGAGGGGACCGTTACCCTCTACAAGGCCATAGACCAGCAGAGGGACCGTTACCCTCTACAAGGCCATAGACCAGCAGAGGGGACCGTTACCCTCTACAAGGCCATAGACCAGCAGAGGGGACCGTTACCCTCTACAAGGCCATAGCCCAGCAGAGGGGACCGTTACCCTCTACAAGGCCATAGACCAGCAGAGGGACCGTACCGTTACCCTCTACAAGGCCATAGACCAGCAGAGGGACCGTTACCCTCTACAAGGCCATAGACCAGAGAGGGGACGTTAACCTCTACAAGGCCATAGACCAGCAGAGGGGACCGTTACCCTCTACAAGGCCATAGCCCAGCAGAGGGGACCGTTACCTCTACAAGGCCATAGACCAGCAGAGGGGACCGTTTACCCTCTACAAGGCCATTAGACCAGCAGAGGGGACCGTTGACCCTCTACAAGGGCCATAGCCCAGCAGAGGGGACCGTTACCCTCTACAAGGCCATTAGCCCAAGCAGAGGGGGCCCGTTACCCTCTACAAGGCCATAGACCAGCAGAGGGGACCGTTACCCTCTACCAAGGCCATAGGAACCCAGCAGAGGGGACCGTTACCCTCTACAAGGCCATAGTGACCAGCAGAGGGGACCGTTACCCTCTACAAGGCCATAGACCAGCAGAGGGGACCGTTTACCCTCTACAAGGCCATAGACCAGCAGAGGGGACCGTTACCCCTCTACAAGGCCATAGACCAGCAGAGGGGACCGTTACCCTCTACAAGGCCATAGACCAGCAGAGGGACCGTTACCCTCTACAAGGCCATAGCCCAGCAGAGGGGACCGTTACCCTCTACAAGGCCATAGCCCAGCAGAGGGGACCGTTACCCTCTACAAGGCCATAGACCAGCAGAGGGGACCGTTACCCTCTACAAGGCCATAGCCCAGCAGAGGGACCGTTACCCTCTACAAGGCCATAGACCAGCAGAGGGACCGTTACCCTCTACAAGGCCATAGACCAGCAGAGGGGACCGTTACCCTCTACAAGGCCATAGACCAGCAGAGGGGGGACCATTACCCTCTACAAGGCCATAGACCAGCAGAGGGGACCGTTACCCTCTACAAGGCCATAGACAGCAGAGGGACCGTTACCCTCTACAAGGCCATAGACCCAGCAGAGGGGACCCGTTACCCTCTACAAGGCCATAGCCCAGCAGAGGGGACCGTTACCCTCTACAAGGCCATAGACCAGCAGAGGGGACCGTTACCCTCTACAAGGCCATAGACCAGCAGAGGGACCGTTACCCTCTACAAGGCCATAGACCAGCAGAGGGGACCGTTACCCTCTACAAGGCCATAGACCAGCAGAGGGGACCGTTACCCTCTACAAGGCCATAGACCAGCAGAGGGGACCGTTACCCTCTACAAGGCCATAGACCAGCAGAGGGGACCGTTACCCTCTACAAGGCCATAGACCAGCAGAGGGGACCGTTACCCTCTACAAGGCCATAGACCAGCAGAGGGGACCGTTACCCTCTACAAGGCCATAGACCAGCAAAGGGGACCGTTACCCTCTACAAGGGCCATAGCCAGCAGAGGGACCGTACCCTCTACAAGGCCACTAGACAGCAGAGGGGACGTTACCCTCTAACAAGGGCCATAGACCAGCAGAGGGGACCGTACCCTCTACAAGGCCATAGACAGCAGACGGGGACCGTTACCCTCTACAAGGCCATAGACCAGCAGAGGGACCGTTACCCTCTACAAGGCCATAGACCAGCAGAGGGACCGTTCCCCTCTACAAGGCCCATAGACCGAGCAAGCGGTGGGACCGTTTACCCTCTTTACAGGCCCTAGCCCAGCAGAGGGGACACGTTAACCCTCTACAAGGCCATAGCCCAGCAGAGGGACCGTACCCTCTACAAGGCCATAGCCCAGCAGAGGGGGACCGTTACCCTCTACAAGGCCATAGCCCCAGCAGAGGGGGACCGTTTACCCTCTACAAGGCCATAGCCCAGCAGAGGGGACCGTTACCCTCTACAAGGCCATTCGCCCAGCAGAGGGGGACCGTTACCCTCTAACCAAGGCCATAGACCAGCAGAAGAGGGGACCGTTACCTCTTACAAGGCCATAGCCAGCAGAACCGACAGAGGGGACCGTTACCCTCTACAAGGCCATTAGACCAGCAGAGGGGACCATTTACCCTCTTCCAAGGCCATAGCCCAAGCAGAGGGGGACCGTTACCCTCTACAAGGGCCAATAGCCCAGACAGAGGGAACGTTACCCTCTACAAGGCCATTAGCCCAGCAGAGGGACATTACCCTCTACAAGGCCATAGCCCAGCAGAGGGGACCGTTACCCTCTACAAGGCCATAGACCAGCAGAGGGGACCATTACCCTCTACAAGGCCATAGACCAGCAGAGGGGACCGTTACCCTCTACAAGGCCATAGACCAGCAAAGGGGAAATGGGGGGTGGGTAAGGGTTTTTAGGAATAAACCGCAAGGGTCTAAAGGGAAAAAAGATGAAATATAAGGTACTATATTTTATGTTGTTGATAAGATTATTAAAAACTTGAGGTTTTTAGAACAGATACAAAATTTGCGATTAAATATCTTAATCGACTGACAGCCCTAATATTTATATCATATTTATTCATACCGGCCTCTCTTAGGTACGTTCTGATTTTATTTGATGTGTGTTGTGTCATGCAGTTTAATATAGATAACATAAATAATTGAATTAATTAATATTTAATTATATATTTTTTTTTTCCTTCACTTAAAAAAACTGTTTTGTTTTTTGTTTACTGAATGTCTGGACTCCTCCTCCTCCTCCTCCTCCTCCTCCTCCTCCTCCTCCTCCTCCTCCTCCTCCTCCTCCTCCTCCTCCTCCTCCTCCTCCTCCTCCTCCTCCTCCTCTCCAGGCTCCAGCATCAGGAGGATCCAGTAAGGATTCATCAGCGGCTCATAAGGATGACGGTCTCTTTAAAGCTCCTCCCCCTCCCCCTAAAGTCACTAAATGTGTGACCCTCCCCACGGATCTGTACCAGGACACCGTCACTGCACTCAAGTGCCGCAAAGAGCACAAAGAGGTACTCGAAAGCACTTCCATTTCACTGTAATCAACACGTTATCAGTCCAGAGAGACATCCGTACGAATCACACATTCTAATTTTAAAGTTACTTAACTGCGTATCATTTTAATTGTATTATTAACATATATTTTTTTTTTGTTCTCAAAGAAATACATTTTTTTGTGAAATGAGTTTAATGGCGTGCAGGTGTGATTAACCGTAGCTCCTTGCCTCCTTCACTCCACGTTCCTGAATAAAAGGAGCGAGCCGGTAGCAGCAGCTCTCTTAACCGCCTCTGTGTTGCAGCTTTACACCGTGGTGCAGCACGTGAAGCACTTCAACGACGTGGTGGAGTTCGGGGAAAATCAGGAGTTCACAGACGACTTCGAGTACCTGGCGACGGGTCTGAAGAGCGGACAGCCGCTCAACACGCGCTGCCTCAGGTGAGCACGTTCTTTATTATTATGTAAATATATCTAATGTGTAAATATGTTTATTTTATTTTTTAACACTTTATTTTTTAAAGTTTACATTATAAAGAATAATCACACAGAATGTAACTGAGCAGTGAAATACATACTGGAGATGCAACAGTGCACATTTAAAGCAGATCAAATGCACCCCCCACCAACAGCGCCGACCCCTCCTCATCTCCTCACCTCCTCATCTCCTCACCTCCTCACCTCCTCATCTCCTCACCTCCTCATCTCCTCATCTCCGCCGCTCCCATTTTTTATGCCATAAGTAGGGCTGCACGAATTGGGGAAATAATGTAATTGCGATTTTTCTGACAGATATTGCGATTCGAATTGCGATATTTGTTTTTTAGCGACCCAACGGAAGTTTATTGTAAAATGCGGCCATGTCTCCGGCTAGGAAGGTCGCATCAACGTGCTCCCGTCTCCAGCACCCCGCAGCCCGAGCTACGAGTGAAAGAACTAAACTTACATGAAACTCCCGTTGGGTTGCTTTAAAGTCAAGCTTCAGTTTAAGATTCACCCTGTGATAGAAACATGTGATGGAGCATTACTAACCTGACTCTGATGGTTCACCAAAGCATGTAGGAAAGCTCCATTGGAAGCCATTTGGAAAGGGCAGGCACTTTCAGAAGCACTTGGCAGGTGATTGGATCAATCTGTCTATCACCTTCTATCATGGGCCACTTCTGATTGGTTAACAATGGCTGGTACATGTGGAGCACAGCACTTCTGATTGGTGTGGATGACTGACACACAAGAAGAAAAAATGTAAAAAAAATCTCAGGTTTTGCGATTTGATAATCGCATCATTTCAAATCGCGATTTCGATTTAAAATCGATTAATCGTTCAGCCCTAGCCATAAGTTAGTCTCTCTCCGTTGGTGCGCGGGGCTAATGCTAATAATGCTAATGCGAGCGAATAAAATGGCGGCTTCACAAAACCTTTCAGAGTTTTACGGGCCGTGGTTTGCAATTCGCCCAGCCAATCAGAAATTGGAACTTGTTCCTCCCCATGAAAGAACCACCTCTCTGGCAGGGACTGAAAAGGTTCCGAGAACTAGGTTCTAGTTCCAGATCTTTTTGGTGTGAACGCAAAATCCCAAGAACTATCGGAACTATTCCTGGGAAAAGTACTCCGGTGTGAAAGCGCCTTATATGTTCATTTTCAGGGTGTCTTCGGGGTCTTAAAAAGTATTACAAGTTCATAAATCAATTTAGTGAAAATGAAGGCAATTCAAAAGTATTAAAGGGCATTTTCCAAGGTATTACATGTTGTAGCTTGTTTCCAATAAGTATATGAATGGTCCAAAGAGGTTGTATTCTACAGTCTGCCTGAATGTAATCATGGCGTAGGTGTGTAGTGTGATTCTGTGTAGTTTATTGATGGCATCCCGTTGGGTTTGAGGTCATCTGAACAGGACATCGCGCGCTCACTGCTTGATAGCGCGAAGCTCCGTTTACGCCGGTTGCTAAGCAACATCGTTATGGGGAAATGCAAGACTGCGTCCAAATGATTGGAAGATAAGGAGGAAGGACAATCAATACTGTATATAGTCAATGTGAGGTAAAGTGTGTCGCCAAGGTAACCGGTTAGAACTCAAAGTGGCGATGAGGTCTTAACATGTATGGAAAGGGTCTTAAGAAAGGTCTTCCATGTGACTTCAGGATTCCTGCATAGACCCTGATTGTAATTCATTTCTTATTTTAAAGTTACTTAACTGAATATAATTCGATTTTTATCTTTGATTTTATCTTTAATTGTATTAATCTCTAATCTTGTGTGAATCTGTGCCGTCGACGTCTTTCTCAAGACTCGTTTTTGGAAAAATACCTTTTTGAAGACCACATCTTGATTTATTAAGAAAACAATTGTGTTTGAAAATAATGACGACACACATTGTGTTCAAATGTGCCGTCTATTCGTCACATCACAGAAGTGTTCGTCAAAATTATGTATCTAATATATCATATTCCAATTACTTGTACATAGACTCTCCTTGCACTATTTTTAAACCTTAGACACTGAAGACATAACCAAATAGAAACAGACACTCTGCTGATTGAAGGAATTATTATATTGTTGTACAACACTAAGAGCCAGAATACTTCCATCAAGTCCAAAGATTGTTGGTCCACCTGTGAGAGACTCTATGACTCATCATAACAACCTAGTGAGGCTGTCCAACCACATCCTCTCTGACCCAAACCATGCTCTGAACAGTGAGTATGAACTGCTACCATCTGATGGAGATACAGGGTCCCACCATTCAATAAGGTCAGACTGAAGCATCCTTTGAGCATCAGTCAGTCCTCTCAGTGAACACAGAGCTGACCCCAGATCACTGATTGTGCCGTTATGTTAAATGTTTGTTGTTTGTGTTTCATGTGTTGTGTCTGGATACCTGTCTGTTGATGTTGGACATGGAGCTGCTGTGACGCAAGGAGCATTTCAGACTTGATCTGACAAATAAAGTAGTATCGTATCGTATCGTATCCTCCAAGAGTCTCAAGAATAACAGAATCTCACAGGTTTTACACACTTCTTTTTAGTTTACACAGCTCTATACCTTCGGACCTTTTACAATCACATGTTACAAGACCCTATAACACACTGCAGACAGACATGTGCACATTCATGGTCTCTTTGAATAAACAAAAGGATGAAACTCATGAGCATGACGTCCTGAAACCCGGAAGTAAACTCCTTCCGGTTCCTTCGACAAAAAAGCAAAGCAGTTTCTTCATAGGGTTTAGGAAAATAGCTGGAAATCAGATCTGTGGTTGAAACGCATTTAAGAGACGGATCGCGTTTTGTTCAGCCGGATAAACTCCACATGTCTACTTTTATCATTTTCAAATCATAAATCTAATCGATAGATTTATGATTAGAAAATGATAAGAGATGGGGAGATGATGCTTTCTCTCTCGTAGCTCCGCCTCTATTGTTTATTAACTCGCCTACTTTTGATCCACTTTGTTGGAGTTGGTCGCTGTGTCTCTCCACCTCTCTAGCCGTGTTCTGTTACTTTAAAGACGGTGTCTCGCTTGGGGGAACACTCGTTTGGGGGAACACTCGTTTGGCGCGATCTGTTGTGACTGTGTAATAACATCGAAAAGTCTAGACCCCGAACATAAGGTGCCGCCTCTTTTTCAGATCTATTTTCTAGGGAAAATCAAATATTCGTGTCAATACGGTATTCTCTGATTCTCTCCACTCTGCCATCCGTGGCACTTAATACGCAGCATTCCTTGAACAGGGTGTCCGCGGGGTCTTTGGTGGGGGTTATCTGCTGGTGGACGACCTGAGAGATCTACAGCAGGAGAACACGCCGTCCACCGCGGAGAATAAACAGAAGGGCAACCATGACAACCATGCTCCGGGGTCTTCTTCGCTGCTTTTGGTGTATTTTGTGGCGGCAGCAGCGCCACTTACAGGCCTGGCATATGTACTACAGCGTTTCCAGCATTTCCAGCGGTCTAGTGTGAACGGACGCGTTAATGAATCGAATGCGTGTGAACGGAAGACTTTTTTGCGCGTCCTCGTGGGGCCGGGGTCTAAGCCAAACTATATCCGGTCACAGAGATCTGCTATTTGAAAGTAAGGTCAACACATATCGACCCTAAATATAGTCTATATTAAGAACGAGAAAAGTCTTAACATATATATCGTTTTTTGTAAACATATGACAAATGTGTGAGGGTGATGACGTCAGAGCATCGTCCTATGTGCCGGGCTGAGCCCCCGACAGCCCCAGCCCAATTGAGCCCCTGGGTATTTGTGAGGGAGCTCCTATATGGCATTACCCCGCTGAAGCTCACCAACGTTTAACATAGTTCAAAGTTTTGTCAATTGTTTATTGGTCAAATCCTGGTTTCTAATGGTTTCTGAGGAGTTCTACTGGAATGAAAGAGCACAGAAGCAACAAAGCAGCATCCTGCATTAACCCTGACCTTCACAGAGAGGTTGAAGTTCATGTGGAGAGGAGGCTTCAGTAGTCTGTCTGCACTCTGTTTAGTTGTGCTATCTTACAATCAATATAGTCAATGTGAGGTAAAGTGTGTCGCCAATGTAACCGGTTAGAACTCGAAGTTGCGATGAGGTCTTAAAAGGTCTGGAAAGGGTCTTAAAAAGGTCTTAAAAGGTATTACATTTGACTTCAGGATTCCTGCATATACCCTGTTGAACCTATTTATGATGCTCTCTCTCGTAGCTCCGCCTCTCTTGTTTATTAACTCGCCTACTTTTGATCCACTTTGTTGGAGTTGGTCTCTGTGTCTCCATCTCTCTTGTTGTACTGTTACTTTAAGATGTGTAATAACATCGAAAAGTCTAAACCCTGAATATCAGACGACCTTCTTTTTCAGATCTTTTTTCTTGGAAAAATCTTATATTCGGGTCAATACGGTATTCTCTCCACTCTGTGCTGATGCTGTGTGTGTGTGTGTGCAGTGTGATCAGCCTGGCGACGCGCTGTGCGATGCCCAGCTTCAGGATGCACCTGAGGGCCAGAGGGAAGGTGGCTCAGGTCTTCAAAACGCTCAACGACGCCCCCCAACACTCGGTGAGGATCAGACACCTGCAGATCATTAACCTCCTATCTCTCTTCCTTATACCAACATCTGAGAATCGTTACTCATTTATATGCAAATCTTGCACATTTCAGAACACTACACTTTTAAAGCCCTTCTTTAATTCAGACTGAACATATAACATGCCCCCCCCCTCCTGTGAGCAGAACCTGGCTCTGTGCACGGCCACGCTGATGTACATCCTGAGTCGGGACCGTCTGAACATGGACCTGGATCGATCCTGTCTGGACCTGATGATCCGGCTGCTGGAGATGGACCACGACCAGGTGCCCGGCGCCGTGTCCGACCCCGACGCCCAGTTCAGCGCCAGAGAGATCGCCAAGATAAAGGAGAAGATCCGGAAGCTGTGCGACACCGTGCACAACAAACACCTGGACCTGCAGAACATCACGGTACGAAACCCTGCACACAACACCCTCTGATGTTATCATGTTCCGTCAGCAGCTCTTCATGGTTTTGCACAATTTAAATGTCTCTATTTTTAGGCGTTGTTATACGTCTCAGATATATAAAAAACATGTCTGTTGCCCCTTTCACACCAACGCGGTTCCGGTGCTTATCAGGCTCTAGCTCCGAACCGGAGCTAGAGCCTGATAAGCACCGGGTTTTCCTGTTCTCAGCGGAGCCGGCTCTAAGCACCGAAAAACCAGTTCTTATCAAGCTCCAAAAAACTGTCTAGAATAGGGCTGTGCAATTAATCGTATTTGAATCTCGATGTTGGCGTGCAGCGATTACAAAAACAACGTAATCGAAATAAAACGATTTTTTTTTTTTATTGGTTTTTCAGTTGAATTATACTTAAAGTTCAGGGTAATCAACTGTTAAAAACACACTGTTCCAATTTTATTTTTCAATAAATGGATGTTCTCAAAGTAAATGGATAATCGTTTTTAATAATCGTGATATCAATTATTGACCAAAAATAATCGTGATTATGATTTTTGCCATAATCGCACAGCCCTAGTCTAGAAGCAAGAACTGCATACGTCACGCTTACGTCGGGGGCGGGATCACCCTCCTGAACAACAACAGAAATCAAATGACACGCGACCTCCGCCTTTCCTCCAGCTTCAACGTGATCTGTAGAAATAACATTGAGAATCAGTTTTAATGTTGTACCGTAGTAATTAATGCTGCAAAGGTCGGTATTTTGAGCTTGGCGCATGCAGAGGCTAACAACAGCTAGCTCTAACGCCATCGAATAGGACGTATACTTTCTTTCTCCTACGTAATCGTCGTTGATGATTGTGAAGAACATTTGAAAGTCGCTTGTGACGAATGGAAAGTTCGTGGTGAAGTCGTCCGATTATTTCCATTTGGTTTCGACAAAGCAAAACGAGCAGCGCTTCAATACAATCGGCCATTGTTGTTGTTGTCGATGTGAGGGCTTTGGCTTTATGAAGCAGGCGCAAACGATGACGCAGCACCACTCGGGCTCTGGGCGGTGTGAACAAAACGGGGCCTGTAAAGAAAAACCGGTTCAGAACCAGAGCTAGACCGGGAGCTGCGTCGGTGCTCAAAATACCAAACAGACCACTCATTGTAGCCTCATACCCTCTATTTCAGCCTGTTACTAAAGTGCTGATTCTGGGTCAGTAGGGGGGGGCTAATGCCTGCTCAGAACTCTCCCAGCAGAAACTCCGCTAAATGCCGTCGTGATTAAACTCCATATCATGTTCCAAACCGCATCAAGCATTATTTCTGAAACCGTATGGAGCTCAAATGCTTTTTCTCTTTATATTTATTTAGAAAACAAGTCAATATTCAATCCGACTTTATTTTGTCCCTCCTCTCTCCCTGTAGACGGGTCACTTGGCGATGGAGACGTTACTCTCTCTGACGTCCAAGCGAGCGGGGGACTGGTTCAAAGAGGAGCTCCGGCTGCTGGGAGGACTGGACCACATCGTGGATAAAGGTACTCCACAGAGAGGCTAGTGATTATATAGAGCGGGGGGGTCAAACTCAATGCCATCGCCTGTATTACGTTCCCTTCTGAACTAGTTTATTTTAGACCGCAATGTAAACAAAAGGCAGGCAGGCAGCCTGAAACAAACAAAGGAAGGACTCTAACACAGGAGTCTAGTTATATGTGGGGAAAATAAATACTAGTACACTAACTAAAGAACGAAACAAAACCTCACTTCAAGAGTGGAACAACTAACAACGGGAGTCTACACAAACACAGCTAACTAAAGGCAACAGTCACAAATCCTAACTATGCTCTAAACACTAACTAACCTACTCTACACTCTACTAACACACAATATCACACGGAGATAAACACACGAGATGAACCACAGAATGAAGAGCAACAGAGCCTCCAGAGTGGTAGTTGTTCCCGGGCTTTATAATCATCTGCAGCAGGTGTGCGCCGGCGGTGCGCTGCGACTGGAAGACGTCGGGTCCGGCGTGCTCCAATCACGATCTTCGGAGGCGGACCAGAGGATGGGCAGCCAATGACGTCAGGGCTACTGCGCAGCTTATTTAAATATTACACACCCAGCTGAAAACACTCACAGGCAGATTAATGAGCAGACAGAAACCGTAACAGCCGGCCACATCAGCATTATGGTTGCACTCAAAGGGCCGGTTGCAATATTACATGATCGCCTCTGCATTGGATTATTATCGGTAAGTTAATAACTTCATAATTAACTACGTCTGAAAGCAGAAGTCTAGGGCGAGTAATTGCAATTCTCTTCTGTGCGCATAATGAGATGCATTGTGGGAAATGTAGTTAATGGGCAACGTGCTTCTGTAAAGCGCCATGTAACCGTATAATAAACGTATTATACTCCTTTTCAAGCTCTTGCGGACCACATGAAATGAAGTCTTGAGTTTGCCCCCCCTGATATGAAGTGGTAATGATGGAGATGTGTTCTGACCCTGTTGTTGCTCCTCCTCTGCAGTGGGGGACTGTGTGGAGAACCTGAACCAGGAGGATGAGAAGGAGAAGATGGTGTCGTCTCTGTGGGGAGCCGAGCGCTGCTTACGGGTGTTAGAGAGCGTACGTACAGCAGGGAGTAACGTGTGTTTGTATGATGCTTTACAAGATGAGGGTTACTGTTGCATTCATTTATATAGCACATTTAAAGCAACCTCAGTTGACCAAAGTGCTGTACAGGGAACAAATATAGACTTGATATATATATATATATCTATATATTAGGGGTGTAACGGTTCACAAACATTTCGGTTCGGTACGTACCTCGGTTTTTTGGTCACGGTTCGGTTCGGTACGTTTTCGGTACAGCAGAATTTTTTTTCACAAAACAAAACATATATATATATATTTGTATTATTATTATTAAACTGAATAATGTATTCACTCAAATAAATACAAAATATAATAAAATAAACATTAAGGTGCAGCATTTCGATGAACTGAAATAATCTGTATTTGAACTTTACTGTACTAGTACTCACAAAACATAAACTATTAGTTTTGGGTTTTTAATTATTATTAAACTGTGAATATTCACTCAAATAAATACAAAATATAATAAAATGAACATTAAGGTGCAGCATTTCGATGAACTGAAATAATCTGTATTTGAACTGTAGCCTACTGTACTAGCACCTAAGCAGCCAGCTTGACATTAGGACTTGCTTGTCATTGTATTTTCATGTTTTTTTAAATAAAAATGAACTTGTCCACATTGCTTGCCGAAAGGGCAGATCTGCTGGCACTAACAATGTCTCCTGATGTGGAGAAAACCCTCTTGCTAGGGACAGAGGTAGCCGATACAGCCAGGCATAGGCGGCGCGTGAGGCTCAGGTTTGGGAAGGCTAAATCACTTTTTTTTTACCTGACGCTGCCCGCCTCCGGCGTCTATAGAAAAGAGATCAACTCAGTGAAAGCACCGCCTGCTGACCGATCAGAGCTCAGTGTGCGGAGTTTAAATCTATCAAGTCATATTACAGGATAAAGGAAATACAGTTTAAACTGCCGTATGCAGAGAAGACGCCGACGTGTCGCACTTTATCATTCATATCACACTGATATCACATCATCAATCAGATCATCGATCTCACATCGATATCACAATATTTCCTTATCTGAGTCAGCTGAGCCGTATCTGGCCGTGCAACACTTAGTTACATTGTCACAGACTGTATGCAGATGTATTATTTTAAGCAACACATTAAGTTGACGAAACACTCAACTCAAATGTAATTAAAGTCAGATCCCCTCGTGTTTTAGATGGGGCAGTATCATAAACCTGTTGTACGCTTTCAAACACTCTGTAGTTTATTTATTTTTTAACGAGTTGTTCTGTATTCACCTTGCAGCAACTCTGTGGCTTGTATCCTGGATTATATGTTTAAGTCATGGATGTCTAAAGTTCATATTTGTCTAATATTAGTTTACTTTTCATTAATGAAGTATGACGCTGCGCTGTCGGTACACTTGTCCCTGTTTGTGATTGGTCAAATGTTGCTAACCCCGCCCCTTTAACGTGAACGCGTTCTCAGCTGGAGAGAGAAACCCTGGCTTGATTTACCGAGTTGATAACCAGCGCCGTAGGACCGCTTAGCGAGATCTCGTTTGTTAGGGTTAGTTAAGATTACTCAAACATATCCAGGGTCTGTTGAACTGGCTTCGTAGCACAGGGCACAGGTGGCTAGCAGCGCTAATGTCAAAGACACAAACATTATACATTATATTTTTATTTTACCAGGATGCAGTGACACAAATATTTGGGAAGGCTTAGCCTTCCCAAGCCTACAGCACCCGCCGCCCCTGCAGCCAGGTAGCGCTTTGCTAACATGGCAACATAAGGATATTTGGTGTTTCTAATAGCTTTGGCTCGGTCTGATCTCTCTGCGAGTGGTGGAGGCTTAAATGCTAGTGGGAGTTGGGTTTGCACTTCAGTCTTTTTTCTTTTGGTACCGGTGATATTCACGTTCGGGTGATGCCTTTTCAAGAGTGTGCAAGTTTGATGTATTGCCAGCCGCGTAACCAATTTTAGTTGAACAATGCCGACAAACAGCTTTGGTTCGGTCCACCTGTCTTTGTCCGTCATCCTTGTACGTAACTGCGAAACCAAAATGTTCCCAAACCGGAGACTTCAATGATGCTGGAGGATTTTCGAGCTCAACTTTATCTGCGTTCGCGATTAATTTTTGACAGTTCCTCAAATTACTGACTACATTTGAACGCATCCCTCTGACCAGCTCTGATAGTATGCCTCTCATCCAATGAAATGACTTGCTCGCTCTATGACGCGTTGAACCCAATGTGAGAAAATTACTCTGAATGCTGCGACGCAGCACCTGAGATTACTTCCAAAAAGTTATTCACGTTCTCAATTTTTTACGTTTAACGTTATATTCGTTCGGTACACTTCGGTACACACCTGTACCGAACCGAAGGGCCCGTACCGAATAATTTCGGTACGGGTACGTGTACCGTTACACCCCTACTATATATATAGATATATATATATAGATATATAAAACGTTATAATATTAGAAGCTTTCAGGTGAAATGTGTGTCTTTTTTTTTCAGCTGACGGACCACAACCCAGAGAACCAGAGCTACCTGATCGCCTACAAAGACTCATCACTCATCATCTCCTCTGCAAAGTGAGGACACACACACAGAGACACACACACACACACACACAGAGACACACACACACACAGAGACACACACACACACACACACACACACACACACACACACACACACACACACAGAGACACACACACACAGACACACACACAGACACACACACACACAGACACACACAGACACACACACACACACACAGAGACACACACAGACACACACTCGCTTGTCAGGAAGGGGTTTCATTGTAATTTGTGTGTGTGTGTGTGTGTGTGTGTGTGTGTGTGTGTGTGTGTGTGTGTGTGTGTGTGTGTGTGTGTGTGTGTGTGTGTGTGTGTGTGTGTGTTAATCTCATTATCAGGGTTTTGTTGTTTGATTTCCTGCTGGTGACATGCTGTCAGTCACAGCTCTGACCTCTGACCCCTTCTCCTTCCCTCTCTGCCCTCCAGTGTTTCTGACACATGACGCTGCTTTTGTTAAAGCCTCATCAGATACCGGCAGTTTTAATACAAATGCACCATAATCTATATCTTTGTATAGACGTGTTTATGTTCTAGTCATCTGAAGTGATGCAATGAATAGGCATGTTTTTGACTCTCGGAAATATATATACTATTGTTTTGTGATTACAGGGCTCAACGCTAACTTTCAAAAGCTGATGCCTGGCTGGCAACCAGGCATCAGCTTTTGGTTGCCAAAACTGAAAATACGGTTGCCATTTTTGTCACCTTATATTTTAGATAATTAAGATACTAAACAGTTATACATAAACTTAATAATGAAAATGTGACACAAAAGAATGTTCAAATGCTTTACAATAAGCAATTAACACAATTATTTGAAACTTAAGTGGCAGTAAACTTGTCCACCCTCAATCGCTGGTATACAAAATACCAGGAATGCAGCTGTTGTTCTTCACAGATCCCTCAAAAATGAAGATGAGATGAACTGGCCCTTCAGCATTGAAGTCTTGATTGTGGTTCTGTCATTGGCTAATACATTTCTAATGTTAAATAAATGAAAACTATTCAGTTAAGAATTAGATATTAATTATTAATGCTGTAAATTACCTTTAATGTGTCTAACTATATTTAAAATGTGTTACCTTTTTATAGAAGTGATTATATTTGTATGCCAATATTTTCCTATGGTAAAGTTTTGTTTAGCACTTTTATTTTGGTAGTAATAGGATCGGGACTCTTATTTTGAAGGAACTTTTACCGGAAGTGTGAATGCACAACGGAGCAGAATGTAAATATATATTTCGCCTCCTAAGACTTACACATTTCCTCTTTGCTTTCGTTCGGGTTCATCTTGCGCTTCATTAGTTGAATCACTTTGAACATTCGTTTGAGATGTTGACGGGTTGGCTGAACTTTTTACCCCACAGTCAAGGCACCCCCACGCGAGTAAACGTGCACCGCTTTCTGGCTCCGTAATCGCACCAATGCACGTGCAACTTAAGTATCAGGTTCCGACTGGTCACAACAATAATTAAATATCACTCTTAATAAAACAAATAATTAACATTTATCTATTTTGGGGTGCACATTTAGCTGTCCTTATTTCTTTATGTTAAAAACGAGTTGCCACTGATGGCAACCAAAGGCCAAGAAGTGGGTGACATTTTTTCTGAATGGTTGCCAATGGCAACCTGGCAACCGTTACTGTCGAGCCCTGGATTACAACAATATTCTTTGGTCAGGTGACCGCTTGTTTTATCAAGATAATAGTTATATTTAGAATAACTTAAAACACACATCTCATGGTAATTCTGACACCCCATGAAAGCAGCTTTACACCAACCTTTATCAAAATCAGGCCAGTGGTTTTTTTTTCCGTCGTCCTGGAGATATATTTAGCCCAAAACATGACGACCTAGTTTGAGGTACCAACATCATTTAGTTGCTCTTGTTTTATATTAAATATGTATATTCCAAAATATAAATATCGGGCGTCATGACAACACAGAATCAGAGAAACGACCGGAGCCTCAACCCCGAACAAAGAGAGGCTGTTTCAGTCTAAAGTTCAGCTGCCTGTTAACTCGATTAACACACGCACGCACGCACGCACACGCACACACGCAGGCAGGCACACACACACACACACACACACACACACACACGCACACGCACACACGCAGGCAGGCACACAGACACACGCACACACACACACACGCACGCACGCACACACGCAGGCAGGCACACAGACACACGCACGCACGCACACACGCAGGCAGGCACACAGACACACGCACACACACACACACACACGCAGGCAGGCACACAGACACACGCGCACACACACACGCAGGCAGGCACACAGACACACGCACACACACACACACACACGCAGGCAGGCACACAGACACACACACACACACACACACACGCAGGCAGGCACACAGACACACACACACACACACACACACACACACGCAGGCAGGCAAGCACACAGACACACACGCAGGCAGGCACACAGACACACGCACACACACACCCACGCAGGCAGGCACACATGCACGCACACGCACACTTTACTTGTTAGACGCTTTTATCCAAAGTGACTTACATACTCAATACTGAGGACAATCCCCACAGGAGCACTTTGGGGAGAAGCGTCTCAGGGACACAACGACATGCTGACTGCAGTGGGACTCGCTATCCCCTGATTCAAAGTTCAGTGCACTAACCCACTGAGCCACAGCCTCCCCGCACACACACGCACACCCTTCTCTCTTCTGTTTCCTTCTCTCGTCTTTTTCCGCTGTCCTTATTTTTTCAACCCAAAATCACCCCGAGTGTTTCAGCTGTCTGCAGAGCTAATTCAATAACCTCACACACACACACACGCACACACACACACACACACACACACACACACACACACACACACACACACACACACACACACACACACACACACACACACACACACTCGCTTGTCAGGAAGGGGTTTCATTATTCTGAGACTGCAGGGTCATTCAAAATAGCATGTTGTGTTGAATTTGCATAAAAGATCCTTGTAATATTAGTTTAATTTAACTACTTAAGAAGTTCTTGTCAGTTTTTGCCAACAGCTGAGAAATTGTATATTTTGCCAATAAACCTAATGGGGTTGAATCAATGCTGGACACACTTCCTCCATGTCGTCAATTGGACTTCGTTCTACTGCTAAGACTTTGTGTATCAACACATCAACGACATTTTCGTGGATGTTTGATCATGAAAGCGTAGAAATATAACAAAAAACTATTTGTTTCAGTTTAAACTGTAAACCTTGATTTGTGTGTGTGTGTTAGACTCAGTACACACACACACACACACACACACACACACACACACACACACACACACACACACACACACACACACACACACACACACACACACACACACACACAGACACAGAGACAAGTCCTTTTTATTATTGACTACAAGCAGGAGTGGGAACCGATCTTGACGGACTCAATCATATCTTAAAGTTTAATTCTGGTTTATTGCACACTGACTATAGTTCCTTAAAAGAACATGACACCTCTCAGCGTTCATACAGAGTCTTTGGAAATGTAACATGCTGGGAAAATATTACAATTTAACTTTAATCTTTTTAAGATTAGCCGAAAAAACCTGTAAATGTGTCTCTCCTGTTTTACCTCCTCTCTTACTTTGCCTTCATTTATGTACAACAAAAAACTCTTATCTTTCTCTGTCTTCCGTCCTCTCTCTCTGGTTTCTGCTGTCATTAGATTTAATTCAGTTATAGACATCAGGCGGCTGACCTGCTGCACCCGGCCTCTCTCTCTCTCTCTGTGTTGGAGAGTGTGTGTCTGAATGTGTGTGAATGCTGCTCTGTTGTGTGAGATCCAGATGCGACAGCTGGCTCAGAGTCCAGTGTGTTTGTGATGAACCAGTAACTGGGTTAAATCACTTTTTCGAAATAAGTACAATTTAAAAAAAAATTAAAAAATCTACGCTGTTTGAGACCGATGGAAAGAAGTAGTTGTGTACATTTATTGACAAAATATACATCCAAGTACACATTTGAATTAATATTATTATAATAAATAAATATTATTATATTTATTTATTATAATAAATAAATATTATTATATTTATTTATTTTTTAATTTATAACCAGTGGCGGCTGGTGGAATATATTTTTGGTGGGGCTGTTGATATAGTGAGTAAAACAATTTTTTGGGGGAGAAATGACCCCTTAAATGAGGACTTCTGGTGATGTAATGGCGCGTTTCCAGTGCAGCGCGGAGCTCGCTTTAATGCTGCGTTCAGACCGGACGCGATGCGAATATTCGCTTCGCTCTAAACGCTCCTATCGCATCGCTCTAATCGCTCGAGTTTCACCGCGGCTGCCAGCTGTGTTTACTCGCATCATTCAAACAAGACGCGCTCGGGAGCTACAACTACTACAAAATGAACATATTTTACCGTGATTAAATTGTAAAACACGTTTCAAAATGATGCCGAAGTAACAACATACTGATACCGGTTAGTAAAAACCATGAATTAATGCTTTGACAAGTCTGCAGACAGACGGCAGAGAAACACCTTTTAGAATGCTTGTTTTCTGAATGGAGCTTGGCTAAGCTAACGTTATATATGCTCCGACCGTCCACACTCACAACAACGGCCTACAGACATAAATAAACCAGCGACTGTATTCTCCATGACACAGACAGTCTGTGGTTTGTACTTGTTTAACTTTTGTCTAGTTTCTGAACAGATCGTATCTGTCCCCGGCTGTTTGAAGAGCAAGCATGGGAAACAAAAGATAGCATTTACCTTTTTGCATCCAGCTAGCCATGCCTTTCTGGTGTACCAGCTACGTGAGAAGCCTCGTTGATACGTTTTGTCTTTTTCACGAGCTTGCTGCGATATATACAAATCGGGTTGGTCCGGTCCAAGGTCTTTAAGGATCAATTTATCTCCCAAACTTTTCCTTTCGAAAGGATTGGAGATTAGCTCTTGAACGGAATTGGGCGGGGACCGAGGTCCGGCGACTCCACCTGCACACGAAGCCATTCTCATCCAATTACTGCGTCACCTTGGTCACTCACGAGTCTAAAAAACAACTCACGTCAACGCACGTAAGCAACGTAGGCGCCAACGTAGGCGCCAACGTGGGCGCCCTCGTGACCAAAATATTTGACGGCGCTGATTGGCTGAAATTATGTTTCGGCGGCACAGTTTACTATTGAGACTTTGGCAACGTGCTGGTTGCTGCTGTTTGGCTCGGGGGCTCCGCCCGGTAATGATAAACTAATGCCACGGGCAAGGCCATGACTTATCAGTAACTTTAGACATCGTAACACAATTTTAAACGAGATTTTATTGTAGATTATACATTTTACTGATACCAATTGTATGATATTTACCTTGTTCATTAAAAATAAAAATATATATATTTTTTAAAATATATTTTAATTTTTTATTTTATGTATTTTTAAAAAAAAAATTTGTATGTGGGAAGTTTTGGGGCGGCGCTCCTATGGGCCGGCCGCCACTGGGCCGGCCGCCACCGCTACTATACAAACGTATTCACACTTTTGCCCTGTCACAATTTTTACAATTATCCTTCTGCTCATTCAATCGAAAGTATAAAAAAACATGAAAGACTAGAACAAATAAATAATAACAATAATATATATATATTTACATTTTCTTAAGTCATATTTTTTTGAATTTATTCTTTTTGAATTTTATACATGGATCCTGAGATTGAAGCTCAAGCCGCTGACCAGTGATTATTAAAAATGTTAAGTATTCAAAAAGTCTGAATTTTGAGATGTTGTCTAACAATCAAATGACTAATGTCTGCTGTCCCTCCTGTGCGTCAGGTTGCTGCGGAGGTGTGAGGCGATGGTCCAGCGCTACAGCAGAGAGCTGAACTCAGACGGAGCCGTGGGGAAAGCTGTGGAGGATTGCATGAGAGCCATCATCGGAGTACTGGTCAACCTCACACAGGACAACGGTGAGGACACACACACACACACACACACACACACACACACACACACACACACACACACACACACACACACACACACACACACACACACACACACACACACAAGGTCATACTGTTGGTGCTCAGAGTTACTAACACTGCAACAAATCTGCTTAAGAACATTTCCCAAGCTTAGCAAAGACGTGACAGCCAGTAAATAGATAAACATTAGCAAATAAGAATCACACTGTTAAAGTGTGTTAACCCGTGAGTGTGTGTTTTGATGTGTGTTAACCCGTGAGTGTGTGTTTTGATGTGTGTTAACCCGTGAGTGTGTGTTTTGATGTGTGTTAACCCGTGAGTGTGTGTTTTGAAGTGTGTTAACCCGTGAGTGTGTTTTGAAGTGTGTTAACCCGTGAGTGTGTGTTAACCCGTGAGTGTGTGTTTTGATGTGTGTTAACCCGTGAGTGTGTGTTTTGATGTGTGTTAACCAGTGAGTGTGTGTTTTGATGTGTGTTAACCCGTGAGTGTGTGTTTTGATGTGTGTTAACCCGTGACTGTGTGCTTTGATGTGTGTTAACCCGTGAGTGTGTGTTTTGATGTGTGTTAACCCGTGAGTGTGTGTTTTGATGTGTGTGCAGAGTGGGTGTGTGTTTTGATGTGTGTTAACCCGTGAGTGTGCGTTTTGATGTGTGTGTTAACCCGTGAGTGTGTGTTTTGATGTGTGTTAACCCGTGACTGTGTGTTAACCCGTGAGTGTGTGCTTTGATGTGTGTTAACCCGTGAGTGTGTGTTTTGATGTGTGTTAACCCGTGAGTGTGTGTTTTGATGTGTGTTAACCAGTGAGTGTGTGTTTTGATGTGTGTTAACCAGTGAGTGTGTGTTTGATGTGTGTTAACCCGTGAGTGTGTGTTTTGATGTGTTAACCCGTGAGTGTGTGCTTTGATGTGTGTTAACCCGTGAGTGTGTGTTTTGATGTGTGTTAACCAGTGAGTGTGTGTTTTGATGTGTGTTAACCCGTGAGTGTGTGTTTTGATGTGTGTGTGCAGAGTGGGTGTGTGTTTTGATGTGTGTTAACCCGTGAGTGTGTGTTTTGATGTGTGTTAACCCGCGAGTGTGTGTTTTGATGTGTGTTAACCCGTGAGTGTGTTTTGATGTGTGTTAACCCGTGAGTGTGTGTTAACCCGTGAGTGTGTGTTAACCCGTGAGTGTGTGTTTAGATGTGTGTTAACCCGTGAGTGTGTGTTTTGATGTGTGTTAACCCATGAGTGTGTGTTAACCCGTGAGTGTGTGTTTTGATGTGTGTTAACCCGTGAGTGTGTGTTTTGATGTGTGTGTGCAGAGTGGGTGTGTGTTTTGATGTGTGTTAACCCGTGAGTGTGTGTTTTGATGTGTGTTAACCCGTGAGTGTGTTTTGATGTGTGTTAACCCGTGAGTGTGTGTTAACCCGTGAGTGTGTGTTTAGATGTGTGTTAATCCGTGAGTGTGTGTTTTGATGTGTGTTAACCCGTGAGTGTGTGTTTTGATGTGTGTTAACCCATGAGTGTGTGTTAACCCGTGAGTGTGTTTGA